CATATATATATATACTAGGTGCGCAAATAAGTTTCCGGGTTTTTTTGATCAATGAAAAATGGAAAATTTCAAGAGAAATACAAAAAATGGTTTATTCAAAGTATCGTTCCGCGCTAGCTACACATTTTTGCCATCTCTTTGGCAATACATGAATACCGCGATGATAAAACGACGCGCCTTTGGACCGAAACCATTCATCCAACCAATTTTGCACTTCTTCGAAATTGGCCAGGTGTTGCCCAGCCAAGCCATGCGCCATCGACTGGAACAAGTGATAATCGGAAGGGGCCAGGTCTGGCGAATACGGCGGGTGCGGTACTAGATCCCATTTCAGCGTTTTCAGCGATGGTATCCTGGACGATGGACGATGGAAGTGCAATGGCACGGAGCATTGTCGTGCTGCAATATCACTCGTTCGTGTCTCGTGTCCCATTCTGGCCGTTTTTCGAGCAATGCATGGTTCAAATTAATCAGTTGTTGTCGGTAGCGATGCCCACTGACAGTTTCGCCCGGCTTCTTTTCAGCAGCTCATAGTACACGATTCCTTTCTGGTCCCACCAAACGCAGAGCATTGTCTTCTTTTCGAAGCGATTTGGTCGTGCCGTCGATATTGACGCTTCGCCAGTAGGTGAAAGCCACGATTTTTTACGTTTGGGATTCTCGAAATATATCCACTTCTCATCGCCAGTAACAATTCGATACAGGAAACTCTTTCTTTCATGCCGCAAAAGCAAAATTTCGGAAGTGGCTCTTCGATTTTCCATCTGTCTCTCAGTCAACTCATGCGGCACCCATTTTCCTTCCTTTTGAATTTTTCCCATGGCATGTAAACGTTTGGAAATACCTCGGCGAGTCATGTTTAATGCCTTCGCAAGTTGATCTTGTGTTTGCGTATCATCTTCATCCAATAACGTTTGCAGATCGGCGTCCTCAATTGTTTTTGGTCTTCTGGAGCGCTCCTTGTCCTCAGTGTCGAAACCGCCACTTCTGAAGCGTTTAAACCAATCTTCACAGGTAGTTTTCGATGGTGCATGTTCGCCGTAGACCTCCTCAAACAAACGATGTGCTTCAGCTGTACTTTTTTTCAAGTTAAAGCAGAAAAGCAAAGCTTCCCGCAAATGCTGTTTATTTGGTAGAAAACTCGACATCTTCGTTGTTAGAAAAAATATTTTTGCGTTGTGATATGTGTTGGTATTACGACTGGTTATTGTTAACAGATGTCCAAGCTATAAAAAAACACAACTTCAGACATATATTTCGAATACACGTGTTGTTAGCGCTATCCATGTGTGAAGCCCGGAAACTTAGTTGCGCACCTAGTATATAGATATATACAGGGTGTCCGGAATGTGATCATTAATATTTTGTGTACTGGTAGATTGGGTGTAGCCGAGAAGAAAATTCATGTACCATAATGTCAAATTGGCAATAGTTATCGAGTTATTAATTGAAACATGTGAGCCAATGAGCGCGTAGAGAGTGCTGGGCGGCCACCTCTTGTCGCTTGCGCTCGCTCGTTCCTCGTTGCACGCGCACGCCTCTTGTCGCTTACGGTTGCCTCTCGCTGCGTGAGGTAAGCCATTTTCTTATACACAACTCGACGCTCGTCCTGTCGCTTTCTCGTGCGCTCATTCGTTTATACATTTTAATTAATTACGGAATAAATATTTAAAAAATTGTAAAATGGCACAGGACTTTTTTAATTGTTTTTTAACAAGTTCTACCAGTACACAAAATATTAATGATCACATTCCGGACACCCTGTATATATATATATATATATATATATATATAATCAATTTGTAAATATAGACAATTAATATAGACAACTACTAATAATAAAAACACAAAATTGACGAAAGACAGAAAACGAATATCACCTATCTTCTGGAAATGCCACAGTTGCTCAACGTGAATATCATTAGTACAGAAGGCAAAGTTTAGGAAATAAAATTGGCTTGCAATTCCGAGAAAAATTAACATAAACGACTTATATCACTTATGTTAATTTTTCTGAATTCCATAGTAACCGATCTTACGTCTACGATCGTTGAAATTTCTAGCTAACAATAAAATACGACTGAAACCGCATCAAAATACATTTAATAATGAATACATTTATCTTAACCTTTTATGATGATATGTAACCTTGAGACAAAAATAACGCAATTTTTATATTATTACATTCATTTACGACTCTACGGAAAACGAATTGTAAACATATTTACATACTTATATGACCACGTCGATTGTGAAAATATAAAAGAAAATAATGTGTACGAAAAGTAGACAAAAAGGATATAGAAGGTTTACAGAAAGTATAATGTATAAAAAGAATTCTATAAAATATCAAAGAATTTAAAATGCAAGTTCTATAAATTCTATAATATTTCTATAAAACTCTAGTAAATTCTATAAAAAATTTTATAGTAATTTTAAGAATTATACAAAACGTATCGACATTTTTAGTTTATTATCTTTCCGTTTCACATGTACTATTTATATCTTAAGATTTGAAGTCTATTATATTAAAAAATTAGCTGTCTTTCCAAAAACGTTTATGTTCCGATTTAAATCAAACTTTGTAAATAGATTCTTTTCGTATAAAAAAGAAATGAAACAGATTTTCTGCAGGTCAAAAATTTTTAACAATTTTTTAAACAATTCTTTTTTATATTTTCTGTATTAACGTGTGACGTATTTTGTACAGCTATTTAATCTTAAAGGCCGCTCAACTTCGCATAGTTTAGAGATATCTGTCTTTTAATACTTCATCGTGAATAAAAATTTAGTAATAAAAAAACACTAAAAATATATCTTTGTTTTCCGAACCCTCCGATTCTCAATTTCTTTTCGACTATACTACCTACTAACGACTGTACTAACTTTATTTTTAACCCAGCAATAACGTTTATCTTGACTAATTATGCACGATTACTAAACAACGCTTGATAAACGTAATTAAGATTATGTTCAATTTAACCAATCTAACCTAACCAACAACTCTCTGCGTAAAGGTCTTTACTAATTTTTATATTATTTCTATTTCTAGTATATAGTAAACCTATTTCTTTAGGAATTCCGAACAATTTTGCTCGAAAAAGTTGATTAACTATCTTAAGTAAAAGTAATATTTTCTCTGACATCTATTACTTTTACCAACTAAAACTAGTAAAACTAGTAATTATTTATAACCACCGGTAAATGTGATAGATTGAAAGAAATTTATCATATATTATCAAATGTGTTGGTAATTATGCATAATTACCAATTTATTACGTTTATTATGATATGTACACTTCTTGATAATATCCATCAATACCAATATTATAAATTAAATCAAATTAAATTAGTTCTTCACGGGGTGGAAGGCAAAGCACATGTACTGTTTCTATATACCATCAAAATATACTTTTCAATACTGAAGTTAACTGGCAATTAAGTTTTTACGATTTATTTATTAATAACTTTTTAATAAACAATAAACGGCGACTAAAATGTTTTGCATGTTACATAAACTAATGACCTTGATAACGTACTGAAGGTTGAATTAGTTCTGGTCCTTAGCAATAGATGGCTTTAGTATTAATGATTAGTACGAATGTTGAAATCTGGCAATACTGAAAGATTTGACATTTCTCTATGTGACAGTTTGCACGCTATTGTTTACTGATAGTTTCATTGTTTATACGCGTCTAAAATGGATCTTACAAAATTGCATTTTTGACATTCATTACTTTTCATTAATTTCATTACTGTTTTTATTCGATTTGAAAAAATCGGCAAATGAAACTCATGAAATGCTTATTACAACTTACGGTGATCAAGCTCCATCGTACTCCAACTGTAAATTTTTATTTCAACGATTCAAAAGTGGTCACTTTAATTTGAATGACAAAGAACGTACTGGTCAACCAAAAAATTCGAAAACCTTGAATCGCAAGCATTATTGAATGAACACCATTCAAACGGAAAAATAATTGGCTGAACAACTCAACATCGATAAATCAACAATTTCTAAACATCTACACACCATGGGAAAAATTCAAAAGGAAAGCAAATGGGTTCCACATGAATTATGTAAAAGTGCCATTGCAAATCGGTTGAATATCGCCATGTCTCTGCTTGCCAGACAGAAAAAAAGGGTTTTTTTGTGGCGAATTGTAACTGGAGATGAAAACTGAATTTAGTTTAATAATCTAAAGCGTAAAATATCATAGGTTGATCCAAGACAACCATCAATATCAACATCAAAACGGAACATTCACGGTCAGAAAGCAATGCTCTGTATTTGGTGGGATATGGAAGGTGTGGTGTACTATGGGCTTCTAAAATCGAATGAAACAGTTACGGGGGAGTGATACCAGCAACAATTGAACAAATTGAATGATGAATTAATGCAAAAAAGGTCAGCGATAGCCAGCAATAGACGTAATGTAATTCTTTTGCACGATAATGTTCGTCCATGTTGTTTCAATCGTTAAACAAACATTGTTAGAGATCGAATGGGAAATCTTTTCGCACCCAGCGTACTCTCCAAACCTAACACCATCTGATTACCATCTATTCCGATCGATGCAATACGTTTTGGCAGATATACATTTCAATAATTACGAGGATGTGCAAAAATGGGTGTCTAATTGGATTGCTTCGAAAAATAGATCGTTCTATCGTCGCGAAATTACTATATTACCAGAAAGATGGGTCACGGCGGTCACAAAAGTCACAACTAACGACGGAAAATATTTTGATTAATGTAAATTTAACCATTTCTTTAAAATAAAGATAAAAAATTGACAAAAAACCAGAATTAATTCAGCCTTCTAATATATTAAAGTCAAAGAAAAAAATACCAAATTCCTGTGAAAAAATCGTATTCGTTGTACCAGCTGCATCAGCTTCATAGATGTGGTCGGATGAATATAAATATATGTGTAAACAAAGAAGTTACATGAAAGAAAAGTTGTAATATTTTTTTTCCTCCTGCGAGGAAGACTTACTGTTTAGCGTGAGCAATGGATTTCGCCAAGCCATTGCCGGAGCCGCACGGTATTACACCAAGCGGCAATTCGCGTAGAGCCTTCTCCCAGTCAGACCTTTGGAAGAGTCCGTTTACTACCTCGAAGACTATCCCGTCGCCGCCAACCATCAGTAAGCCGCTCCACTGATAGATATCTCTCGTGCGTATGAACTCGCGAGCGTAATTAGCGTGTTTAGTAATGTGAATCTCATACGGTCTCTCGGCCTCGGACAGAATCGGATGTATTCTCCTCTGGAAGGTCTCCCTTCCCCTGCCGGAGCCCGATTTTGGATTCAACAGCACCAACAGCTTTCGATTCTCGCCCGGACACGCTGAAACATGATTGACGGTTGGTTCATGATCTATTTCCACTAAATCAAAAAAACAGAAAACACGAAGTGATAATTAGCAATATTTTTATAAACACGATATCAGAACTATAACAATATCAGAAATAAAACAACATTATTTGGCTTAAGTGCCTCATACAAAACGTAATCTGCATTTATGTTGAGTTAAATTAGGCTAAAGCTAATTGAACCGACAATATTGTACAATATAAAATTATACAATATAAAAAATAAAATAATATAAAAAAAATCATAAAATATAAAAAAAAAGCTGGAAAGTTTAGAAGATGGCAAGAGTGATTAGTAATAAACGCTCTTTTTCGTTTTGATGCCGCATTTCTTTTATATGAACATTTCTTTATTTTTTTTTATTTTTATGATTTTTTTCTTAATGGGCATTTCCTATTGTTAAATAAATAGATACATTTCTACATAAAACATTGACACAAATTCATATAAAGAAAAAGGTTTGCAATGCATTTCACATTTATGTATTTATTGCAAAAAAGAAACAGTGGGAAAAGATTTGCAATTCCTCCAAATTTTATCAAGGTTGAAAAAGTATTGCAATTAAAAAAAAAAAGAAGTCTAATTTGAGAGCAGCCGGAGAAAATTTTTTAGCATCTCGAAGATTCGTATTAATGTCCCCCCACTACAAGCAATTAAATTTGTACGACATACCTTTTTATTAGTTAGAAAATTAAATTTTTTTCTGCAGCTAATATACTATCTAGCATCATAAAAGTAACTCTTATTAATAAAATGATTAAGCATATAGACAAATATGAGCAAATTAATCAATATTTAATTATCTGAAAATATGTACATAGTACCTGATTCAGTAAATATGTAAAAAGAATGGTGCTTTTTTATATTAATATATATCGTAAATATAATAGTTGGAATAGTTGGAAGTGTGTAATTCATAGAAAAAGCCAAATGAGGGAGTAATCGTTGAGATTGGTTAAGATTGATTGAAAGTAGTAATTGTTGAGATATAATAAAAGAAATTTAATCTTATTAATTAACATCTCATTAAATTATTGCTGCAATATTTCGCCTTATTATAATTTAAAAACAAAGATGAATCAAGAAGTAATATACCCAATTCATGTAATTTTTATTCGTAATGACACGCTTATACGTCTTAAAAATATATATTTGCGCAGTATTTTTCAATTAGTCATCCTTTCTGTTGAAATTCGCCTAATCTTATTTAAGCGATGAATAAAAATCCCGTCAATAAATGTGAGAATCTGCTCACGGAACCACTTTCGCATTTAAACACAATTTCAATAAAGGTGCGCATGCACTGAGCGAACGAACAGCGAACGAACATCGAAATATGTACTTATTTTTTGATATATCTCTTCATGAGTGAATCAAATCAACATTCGGTTCGTATTTGCTGTGCATATTTGCCGAACTTCCTATTCACTTTTCGCAATTTATTGTTCGTTCTCCGTTCGTTCGCCAGTACATACGTGTCTTAATGTGATGATATCAAACATGAAGTAAAACAGTGGCTTTACATATACAGGGTCCTCAAAAAGTCCGAAAACGCTAAAATATTTCGAAAAATATGAAAGATACGAAAAAATGACCTCTTTGAAGCTGGCAGGACCAAATTGGCAGAATCGAAATACACCTATCAAATTTTTTAGTACTTATTTTGTGCTAATTTGTGCTATTAATAAAAATTTTGTACCCCGTGCCATTTTGAAAAAAAGCGTGGCGCTGCTACCTTCATATGAAGTCAGCAGGACTACAGCAAAAAATAATTAAATAATAAAAACACTTACATAAATAGGAAGAGCATAATTTGTGCTAATTTGTTCCATAAAAGAAAATTTGGTATTTTGAAAAAAGTGGCACTTTACTCTTGAGCGTGAGCCGCCACTTGTAATGAGCAGAATCGAGTCGCGACATTTGTAATAGATACCACTTATTTCATGCTATTAAAATATGTAATTGCAGATTTTGTATCCGCGGCATTTCTTCAGAAACCATCACAGACCCAGCTTACGCTCAAAAATAAAGTGCTACGTGTAATAAGCAGAATCGAGTCGCGACTTTTGCAATAAATATCTCTTATTTTGTGCTACTAAAATATGTAATTGCAGATTTTGTACCCGCGGCATTTCTTCAGGAACCATCACAGACCCAGCTCAAGAGTAAAATGCCACTTGTAGTGAGCAGAATCGAGTCACGACTTTCGCAATGGGTATCGCTTATTTTGTGCTACTAAAATATGTAATTGCAGATTTTATACCCGCGGCATTTCTTCATAAATCATCACAGACCCAATTTACGCTCAAGAGTAAAATGCCACTTTTTTTCAAAATATCAAATTTTCTTTTATGGAACAAATTAGCACAAATTATGCTCTTTCTATTTATGTAAGTATTTTTATTTTTTAATTATTTTTTGCCTGTGGACCTGCTGACTTCATATGAAGGTAGCAGCGCCACGATTTTTTTCAAAATGGCACGAGGTACAAAATTTTTATTCATAGCACAAATTAGCACAAAATAAATACTAAAAAACTTGATAGGTGCGTTTCGATTCTGTCCATTTTGTCCTGCCAGCTTCAAAGAGGTGAAAAAATCTTTGATACAAATGTTGTAGAGCTTAAAAAGATCTATTTAGTAGTCATATCAATTTGACCATAAGTGGCGTTGCTAAGGCCATATAAAGGTTAACTTTGTTTTTCTAAATGGAGCCCCCTATTTTTTATTGGAAATTCTTGTAGCTTATCTCGAGAGCTTTCCAAAACACTATAATGAAGTCATTTTTTATTAAGTTCTTTCCGAGTTATGACGCTTGAAATTTACAGTACCGCCGGCATTAGCATTACCCAAAGTATACCGCGCGGAGGTGCGATCAGAGATGCTTCTCGGTCCACATATACTAAAAACGAGTTGCGCTCGCTCGTATCTCGCTCTTTGTCTCTTTTGTTTCTTTTTCCGATTATAATGTCACATTTTTTTCTGAAAAATGTTGACCAAATAAGAAAGAATATTGCTACTTATTTATCGAGGATTTGGTGATCGTATTAGATCATATCAAGAAGTAGCTGATCTATTCAATGTTACACATCCTGATCTCGATCCTATTTCTAAATCCACCGTTTGCAGAACAGTGACTCGTTTTTTTGAAACGTGAATAGTAAGGACCAATCTCGCAGCGGAAGGCCAAAATCCGCAACTAATGATGATAAGACTTTGGATGTTCTTCAATCATTTTAGGAAAATCCTCATTTGTCCGTATCAAAACAGCACAAGTCCATGATATCAGTGAAGGCAGCGTTTCTAACATTTTAAACAAGCATAAATATTATTCGTATAAAATTGTTATCGCTCAAGAATTTATGGAAGATGATTTCGATAGAAGAATTCAGTTTTGTGAAGAACTGATGCATGGTGTGATGATAATGCTAACTTTCTGAATTTTGTTATTTTTTCTGATGAAGCCACATTTCAAATAAATTGTGCTGTTAATCGCCACAGTTGTAGATATTAGAGTGACAAAAATCCACATTGGATGAGTGATCGTCGCACACAATATCTACAAAAATTTAATGTTTAGACAGGGATTTGTAGTCGCGGTATTATAGGCCCATTTTTCAAAGATAGTGATTTAAATGCTGAAAAATATGAAAATTTATTGCGAGATCATATCATTCCTGAAATTGAAAATTTATTTGACGCAAACATGCAAAACGTTTGGTTCCAGCAAGATGGAGCAGGACCTCATTTTGCAGTACGAGTTCGAGAATTTTTAAACCGTTCTTTTCCTAATAGATGGATAGGTAGGAGAGGTGCCATTGAGTGGCCTAGATCACCTGATCCATCTCCTCTTCATTTCTTTTTTTGCGGACACATCAAAAGTAAGGTTAATGTGACGGAACCATATAATTTGGAAGACTTGAAGAATCGAATAATGCAGGAAGCATCTCTGATCACTTTAGAACAAGCCATGTGATCAATAGTTTCTATGAACGTTTAGCTCATTGCCAAACAGTAGAAGGAAGACATTTTGAACATTTAATTAATTGAAAAAATAAAAAACAATAGCTTGAAAAATGTTACCTACACACACACACACACATACACACACTATGGAGAGAGTTTGGAGTCTTAAGATACTGTGGGAGTGACGAACCGTAGGGTCCTGATCTCTGTAGTGACACACACACACACACATACACGCGCAAGGTATAAATCCGACCATACAACCTCCGCGCGGTACACCTTGGGTAATGCTAGTGCTGGCGGTACTGTAAATTTCAAGCGTCATAACTCGGAAAGAACTTAATAAAAAAATGACTTCATTATAGTATTTTGGAAAGCTCTCAAGATAAGCTACAAGAATTTCCAATAAGAAATAGGGGATTCCATTTAAAAAAACAAAGTTGACCTTCATATGACCTTAGCAATGTCACCTATGGTCAAACTGATATGACTACTAAATAGATCTTTTTAAGCCCTACAACTTTTGTATGAAACATTTTTTCGTATCTTTCATATTTTTATATATTTTTATATATTTTTATATATTCGAAATATTTTAGCGTTCCCGGACTTTTCGAGGACCCTGTATATACGAGCAAGTTCCAACTTTCGGCAAGATTCCTCTCGTACTAAAAATAGGAATATTATAAAAAATAGTAAAGGCAATCTCCTGTACCTAAAATTAATGATGTCTCGACGTTTTCGCTAAGGAAAAATTGTGAAGTTTTTATAAAGAACAACACTTTATAAATAATAGACACCAAATACACAGTCTGTCCCAGATACGATGAGACTGGTTCCATCAAAGTTCTTAGCGCAGCGATATCTATGAGTGAATGATGGTAGGTGAATGTTCTACCCTTCATCTACTTAACCTCAAAATTTGAGCGAATTCGGTTGATAATTTACTGTGGTTTGACATTTTATGTAAAGTCACTTTGTGTACGTCGGTCGAAAAACCAACTTTTA